AGCAATTCACAGCCAGCTGTTTCGGGCGTGTTGCCCCTGATCCCATGGTCTGGCCCATACTGCCACCACCCCTCTAGAGAAACGTCTTTCCAAGGTCAATGATGACATTACACAGAACCAAGCTCAAGTCTTGACTTCATCACCGTTTAGAGCCAGTGCTGGTGCGCCTTCCTCAGACCTCCCCTCACTGACACAGATGCTGCCCCGCTCCTCCTCCTCCTTAAATCCTGTCCTGTGTGTTAGTCCAGGGCACCACCCGAGACCACCTCTCCTGTATTTTTTGTGACTGCTCCCACCTGTGCTAAGCCTAAGCCCCTGCTCCTATGACTCGGCCCCTGTGTCCTGGGACATCATGACACCACTACCTTCATCCCTCACCTCACCTCTAGTCCTCAGTCATCTTTTTTTTTTTTTTTTTTATCCTCACCCGAGGACATTTTTCCATTTTTTGTTCAGGAAGAGTGGGAGGGAGAGAGAGGAACAGAGAGAGAGAGAAACATCGATGTGAAAGGAACACATCGAGTGGCTGCCACCCGCACGACCAACCAGGGCCGGGGACAAACTGCAACCGAGGTACGTGCCCTTAGCGGGAACCGAACCCGGGTCTCTCCAGACCGCAGGCTGACGCTCTAACTGCTGAGCCAAACCGGTCAGGGTCTCAGTCATCTTGAACACCTGCTGGAGAGCCCCCTGGGTATCCCACTGACACCTCATGTTCAACATAACTAAAATTCATTCAACAATTATTTGTTGAGTGCTGACAAAGCCAGGATCTGTTCTAGTCATTGGTCAGCAAACCATATAAAATTCTTGCTCCACGTGTCCATCGATGGGTGCATGGATCAATAAAACGGGGTACAGCCACATAATGGAGCATCATTCAACCTTTACATGGAAGGGAATTCTGACACATCCCACAACATGGTTAAGCCTAAAGGCGTGCTAAGTGAAACAGCCAGTCAGAAAAAAGGCAAATACTATATGATTCTACCTTTACGAGGTACCTAGTCAAATTCATAAAGACAGAAAGTAGAATGGTGGTCACCAGGGGCTGGGGGGAGGAGGAATGGGGAGTTACTGCTTAATAGGTACAGAGCCTAAGATGTGCAGGATAACGAGACTTCTGAAGATGGATGGTGGTGACGGTTGTACAACAACAGGGATACACTTAATACCGCTGACCTGGACACACTAAGAATGGTTAAGATAGTAAACTCTATGTTACATGTATCTAACCACAATGAAAAGTCCCTGGCCTCTTCACTTTTCTGTATATCGGATTGCTTCAATTGCAGTGAGAAAGACACCGTCCTCAAGGAGCTTACATGCCAGAGGCCAGGCTGAGACGGCCACCCCAGCAGCTCCTTCCCAAGTGTCCAGCACGCGCACTGCCATGCTCCAGGCTTGCACTGTGGACACCTGATCCCTCTCCGCCCCCCAGACCCACGTCTGCTCCATCCTTCCCCATTAAGGCTTTCACCTCAGCCCTTCCTTCTCCCCAGCACAATGTCTACCACCTCTTCACTTCTGATGGGAAATCGCGAGGGAGTGGGGGAAACCCGGAGATGCCCGGTTCAAAGGCCGACTTCACATTGGCTCTGGATAACCTCACACACAAGCGTCAGTGTCCTCGCCCGCTGGGTGAAGGCTCTGACCGGACGCTCCCGAAGGCCCCTCTGGCTCTAGCACGGCTGGGTCTCTGGTCCGCCCGACCCTGCCCGGCCTGCGGCCTGGTGTCCACCTCGTAGGTCCTCAGCAGCCTGAAAGAAAGGCCTCTTTCAGGAGGGGAACCCGGCCAGGGCACGGCTCCCTCCACGTGCTCCTTGGCTGTCTTTCCTGCCAGCCTGAACTTCTACTGTTTGCAAACTGGTGACTCTGGATTACCTGACCTTGGATTCTGCCAGCCCTGCACTGCTGCGGGGACCTCTTCTGACCTGACTGCCCGTAACTGGCACAGCCTCGTCTGTTGACGGTGGACCCTGCTCTGCCACCACCGACTGGGCTGCCTGGTGGCCGTACAACGAGGGCGCTTCTGGCTGGACTCTGGATTCTCCCTGGGCCGTCACCACGGCCCCACTGACGTGCTGGTCCTGGCCCCGGTTCCTGCTGCGTCCTCCGAGGTCACCCCTGTTGCAAGCTGGGTTTGTCATCTGCCCGTGATTGAGTCATTCACTCCACAAAGGTCCACTATGATGTCTATTCCATGACGGGCACTGTCCAGGCAAGAGATCCATCAGGATGGAACACAACCGCTTCTCATATCAACGTCCCACTGCCAAGACACGTTTCCCTACTCAACGAAGACGTCACCCGAGTCAAACTCGTCCGTTCACCAGGTATTTACTGAGCGCTTATTATGTGCCAGGCGCCATTCCAGGCATTGCGGGAAAATATCTGTTTTAGGAAGTGTAACCTTCTACACAGCACAGAGGTCACAGAGCCTGAGACGTGCAGCAAGAATCTCAGTTACACAACCGTCAGTTGTTACAAAACCTCTCTGAGCCTCGGTTTCTTCACTTGAAAGTGGGGATAATAACAGTAACTAAATGATAAGACTGAGGAATAAACAAGACAGTCCGTCTAAAATGCTTAGAACAGCACGTGGCACACAGCAAACACTTGGATAATAATACTTTTTATTTTTATGTGACCTAAATATGCCAAGAACTTCAAGAGTCCCTGTCCCACCCTACTTAACCAATATCCCAGGAGAGCCTTTGTCGATGAAGCCCAACGTCAACATCGCTCATAAAGAATAAAGATTCCCGTGCCAAGTACTACAGATAATCCCAATGCTTTCACACTGGTTACCCTTGGGGATATCATTAAAGAGATGGATACCAAAAGGTTTTGAGAGGATAAAATATCCGCAATACATATATTCAACAACATTTAAGGACCTTCCTACAAACCAATAAGATGGGCAAACCGACAGGAAAATGAGCAAAAGACCCGAACAGGCACTTCACAAAAGAGGTTACCCAAATAGCCAATATCATGACAATGCAAATTCAGACCACAGTGCACTACTGCGTCATAACCCCCAGAATGAGGATAACGAGAGGGAAAGATAATATCAAATACCGGCAAGGACATGGAGTAACCAGAACTTTCCTGCTTTGCTAGTGGGAGTATAAAGGTACAACTGTGACCCAGGAGTTCCTCTCCTCCATACACCCAACAACAACAACAACAAAAAGCTATATACATACACACACACATATAGTATCCACTTATACATATGTGTGCATGTACAAATATTCATTCACTAAAAGACATATTCAAACATATTCATAGTAGCACTATTTGTAATAGCCAAAATGTGTGTACAGCTCAAACATCCATCAACCATATAGTGGATACTAAATGGTGGTCTATTAATAAAATGGAATACTACGTAGCCACAAGAATGGGAAGCTATAATGACACCCATCATGGATGAATGACACAAAAGAGTGAAAGAAGTCAGATACAAAGAGAGAACACTGTGTGATCCATATTACATAAAACTGAGAAGCAGGCAAAACTAATCTGTAATTTTAGCAGTCGAAGTAGTGGTTACCCTTGGAAGGGCGGTTAGTATCTAGAAAGAAGCACAGGGCGATTTTAGGCAGGAGGGGGTCTGGTCATGTTCTGTTTCTTTGCTTGACCTGGAAGCTGGTTACAGACCGTGGGCACACTTCGTGCTAGCCACTTAGGATTTGTTCGCTTTATTTATTTTTGTATATGTTATATGTCAAGTAAAAATATACGGAAATGAACTAGCTAATGAGAAAGATTTTTTTTAAAGCTAGGAAAAATGGACTTTTATCCAAATGGGTTGTTGCCCCCAACACTAACAGATTTTAGTGCCTCCATGAAACCTAAAAGATACATACACATTTCTGATCACTTTCCTATGGCCTCTCCATAAATGGCAGAGATATCACTGTCTAAAACTCCAAAACCATATAAAATAAACACAGTTTCAACACTCCAAATCCATTGATCAAGCTTTATGTTCCAAGAGGCCGAGTTTGAAAATGCATTTGGGTTTTATAGATCCATGTTGCAATATGGAGGAATTTTAAGAAACAGGATATTTCAATGAGAAATAAGCGGGCGGGCGGTGAAGGGAGTAAACACCAAGGAGCTGGAGGAGAGAACACAGCTCCAAACCAGCAGCCAGGCGCCCAGTAGCTGCCAGGGCCCTGACGTGACTGGGCCTGGAAGCCAGGAAGTCCCGCGGGAGCCAGCAGCTCAGAGCCCAAGTCAGGATCTGTGAGCACGATAGTCGCTAAGTTATAAGGAGGCTCAGAGACCACGGCCCGAGAACCCAGAACGTCGGTCGGTAACTACAAGCTACTGAGAGGTTAGGAGAGGCGTGCTCTGACTTCCTGACCCAGTGCAGGAAATAGTGGCTGGGTGTGGGCAGCCTTGGGTACACAAGGAAGTGACTTCAGCTGATCATGGAGTAAGAGGATGTGACCCTGGGTGTGCTCAGACGTGCAGGAGGGATGAGCAAGCTGGTTCTTTCTCTGTTGGGTGTGACTTTCTAAATATATACACATTCATCTGCACAATACAATCCATTCACATGTTCACCATGGCTGAATGGGACTTGGGAGGCTTTGGTTTCAACGGCCCGAGTAGCCAGCTAGGACAGCCGTAAGCTGGAACCTGGCTCCTGAGCCCACAGTCACCTTCGTCCCCTACGTGAGAACCAAGGAAGCAGTGGCCTGAATTCCAGAAACATCAGAATTTGCCAATATAATCCACACACGTGCACCCCCTTCCCGTGATTTCCACCAACAAAGGGAGACAGCAAACTCAAAATTCTAAATAAAAAAAAAAAAAAAATAGGTAACCCCGACATCACTTGTACTTATTTATTCTTCGGCTGCTCCAAAAATATACTGCTGTCACTCAAACACAGGGCAAGTGAGTGACCGTGTCAGCGGCAGGGACTGAGGATGTCCGAGGCCCCGGGAGAGTACCTCTCCCAGGTGGCCTGGTCTTACCTTGGCTTCTGCCCTGCCAAGCTCCTCCGCGCCAAGGTCACCGCCTCTTCTTCCCCCACGCCACCAAGTTCTGCTCCCACCTCCTCTGTGACATCACAACTAAAGAGTCCAGGTAGTGAGGTCAAATAGGAAGACCCTCGAAGCTTGTCCTGAAATGTAAAAAGCACATGTATTCTAGAATCCACGTGCAGTGACTCTCCCCCACCGCCCAGAGTGAGCGAAGACCCATGCTTTGGAAGGTGACCGTTTCCCTGTCCTGGCCCCAAGGCCGCCTGGCCGACCACGGAGGGTGGTGCTGGCACATGAGATGCGCTGGGCTGCTGAGGCATCTGGCAAGGGGTTGGACGTTTTGTCAGGGAAGCAACATCATGTTCTCCAGGGCAATGAGGACGTGTTTCCTGCGTGTCAGTGAACGTCGCAAGTGGAACTCAGTTCTGCAAGGCCGAGCAAACGCTTCAGCGACAGGGAGAATGAAGGACACGGCCACGGGCCAGACGCTTATCATTGCCACCTTTGCTTGGAATGGCTTTCCCGTTGCCCTTAAACTTCATCTCCAATGTATCAGCGTCTAAATATGCCAACCCCCATGCATACTCAGGTGCCCCGGGGACACAGCCGCACCAAGCCACCTGCATGACCAAACTGGGATTCTACGGGAAACTGTGCCATATGAGGTTAGGGAAAAAACTCCTAAATATGATTTTAAAAGACACTGTAAATGCTGAGGATAGGGGAAGCAGGGGGACGAAAGGACAAAGCAGTGGCCAGACAGCTCTTAAGTCATTTCCAGCAGAAGCAGGGATCTGAGGAAATGACCTCTCGTGACCATTGCTATAAGGCTGTCCCCCTGTGCAAGGGTTTCTCAACCTCAGTACTACTGACATTCTGAACTGGATAGTTCTGTGTTGTGGGGCTGCCCTGCCCATCATATATCTAGCAGCCCTGGCTTCTCCCCACTAGACAATAACATTCCTTCTGCTCCCTCATGTAACAACCAAAAATGTCTCCGGACATTGCCGGATGTCCCCTGGGGGCAAAATTGCCCCTGGCAGAGAACCACTTTCTTATACTAACAAATCACATCTCGCACAGGCAAGACCCCAGCTGGCCAAAGTGCAGTCTTCCACTCTGGAAAGAGCTGAGAACATGTAGCCTGGTGGTTATCTCACCAGGCATTAAAGCAACTGAGCTCCCCGAACACACCCCCACCATCAGGTCTGAGAAGTGGGAGGAAGAGGTTCCAGAGGGGGAATTGTTCTGTCTCCAACTCCACAAAACCCATCTCCTGCCAGAGATGGTCCCTTTCAGAAGACAGAGAAACCCCCAGCCCTCCAAAGCCAGTCTCACAGCCCCAGTACAGCCCCTCCACACCCTAACTCATGCTGAGTGTTGGGTACACAAACACCATGCACTTGGCTGCATTTCTGGGAGGAGAGAAGCGACATCTCAGTCCCTTAAAACCTTGTTCAACTAATGATCCTAGCTCTTCCCTCTCCCCCACTCAACAGCCTTGACTGCAGGTCCCCTAGGATACCAGACATCCTAAGAAAAATCTCCCAAAGCTCAGATCTCGCTCTGCAGGGCCTTGGAAGTCAAGGCTGGCACACTGGTCGAGAAGCATGGAAGAATTTGCAGGCCAAGGTGAAGGAACTGGAGATACTTCCAGACACCTGAAGGAGGGACAGATGGAAGACCACACCCAAGGGGCAGTGGGGCGGAGCCGAGTCTGGAAGGGGCAGAGCCGGCGTGATCCCCAGAGACAGGCTGACCAGCTTCCGGGCTGCAGAAAGGGAAAGATCCCGAGTGACCACAGACCTGCCCAGGCAGAGAGGCGCTGGCTGCACTGCTGACTATAAATCTCGTTCACTTGGGGCTGGGCTTGGCTCACAGCAGGCCGGCCCCCCACCAGCTACAGTTTTGCTAAATTTAGTGCTGTTCCCAAGTCACCGAAATGACACTGCTCTTCGTGTCCATTTCAGGTTCACCCGGGGACAGGCGGAGAGGAGCGGGACTTGTCCAGAAGAGATCTGCCCTCCTGTGACCTCTCCCTTCCCCACTGAAGTCTGGGGCCCAGGGGAGCAGAGACGTGAGAAACCACAGTCAGAGGTCTCCAGGCTCGGAGAGCAGGCTCTGCCCCACGGCGGCACTCGGAGAGAAAGGGGGCGCAGATTCCAGGGGCATGTCCTCCCTCTGCCCACTCCTTCCACCCAGGTCTCACTCAGGGCGTCGCGGGTGCTGTGGGGGTGCGCCCGCTCCCTCAGATGAGAGGCTGGTGATACGGAGACACATCCTCAGGAGGCCCCTCTGCCTTGGAGATAAAAGTGTCTTTGACCAAACAGTCACAGGCACTGACATTCCGAGGCCAAGATGGTGGTTTCTGAACCCGAAACCACCCAGGACGCTTCAGAAACGACGGCTGTGTTTGCAATAGCCATGGATGATGTCAGGTGGGTACTGGCAATATTGAGAACAACACTTTGTAAAATATATGATTGTCTGACCACAATACTGTGCACCTGAAACCGATACAAAATAATACTGAAGGTAACCTGTAATGGAAAATTACACACACACACACACACACACGACTGATGCCCAAGTCCCAACTCCCCAGAAACTGGGATGGGATTGGTCTGGGGTGTAATGCATTTGGCTCAGGCTTTGGAAATTTTAAAAGCTCCTCTGGTATTCCAATGTTGAGACAAGTTAGGGAGGCAGTGGGTTAAGACCGTGGCTTTCTGCCTTCAGGCTGCCGGAGGTGGGGGTGAGGCAGGTGGAGGACTCCTGGCCCAAACAGGCCCTTGCTGTGTGACCTTGGGCAAGTTATTTAACCTCCTCTGCCTCAGTTGTAGCCACTGTTGAATGCACACGATATGTAACACCTGCCTCAGAGCGAAGCCTTAACCAGACACTAAAGCATACAGAACTGTGAGAGTAATAAGGGCTTAATAAAAGTGAGGAATCATTATCACTGTTACAACAATGAGGAGGAGGAGAAAAGAGAGGGTACCCGAGGGCTGTCTCTGTGTCGTTCAAGGACTAAGAGTCCCTCGGACTGAAACTGTGACCATTCCAGGAAGTGGGAGGGGGAAGAGGCTCCATGGCCACCTGTACTCGGGAGGAAGACCAGCCAACTCTCCCTTCCTCTGTTGACAGTTTCTCCCACCTTCATGTCCACCCCTCTCCCCACGCTTCTAGAGCCCACCACTCAGGGCCCAGCTCTGAGAAACCCGGGGCCCTCTCCCCTCTCAGGTCTCCAACAATACTTCCCCCATGCCAGCAATTTTGGAACGTTATTAATTTGCTACCCTGAACAGCTACCATCCAAAGAAATATCGGCCTATGGGGTGAATGAAGGCTTTGCTATATACTAAGCTGGTCTCCTCAAAGACACAATGAGCAGTTTGGGAGGGGCCCTAATTCTCATGCTTCTCATTGTCCCTATGGCATCAGCACCATCCTGGACACACAGTCCTTGATTAATAAGATTATTTGTGGAATGAAAACAAATGTTGAGCCAGCAGAGCTAGCTACACGTCAGTGAGGAGCCAGGCTCGGTGCCAAGGAGAAGCAGGACCAGCATGAAGACAATGGGATTCTGGACACCCCTCCGCATTGTGACAAGGACAGACCACCACCTCTTTCCATCCCAAGGGACAGACCCCTCCCATCCACTCCCAGGGCCCATGTGTAAGTGCTGCCGGCAGAAGAAATGTTGGGCAAACAACTCTGCTCCCTGGGAACCTGCTCTGCCCAGGCCTCGACGAGGACGGCCACGTGTCTAGTCACATCTGCCATGGAGCCACCGACCCCCTTGGTTCCCTAAATCCCATCGAAGCAGCCAGGCAAAGCCGTGGTGCCCACATGGATGTCCAGGGCAGCTGGGCACCAACAGGCTGTAAGCCTCTTACAGATTAAAGGTCCTAATTTAAACCTCCCTTTGAGGTAGGACAAGTAGGTCAGCGCTCGCAGGCTGGTCGGCGCAGTCGGTGGAAGGAGAGGCGGCTAGGATCCGAGAAAGACTCCTCTCCTTTGGGGGGAAGACGAGCCAGAGGATGACAGAATGAAGTGGGATCACTGATGGGGAGACAAGAAAGCTCATTCCAATCTACCAGGAATCTCCCCCAGATGTATGAACTCTGACCTCCTATGAACAACCCTGAGAAACAGAAAAGGACAAGATAGTCAGTCGCGATGGCCTGCCTCTCCCTCTCCTGACCTGGGGATGGGATCAGCTAACAAGGACAGGACGCGCGAGTGAAGAGGCGAGGGGCTGGATGCTGCACTCCAGGAGGCACACCAGGTGACACAGAGGGGAAGGCGACCTCTGCTCCCAGCCCTGGGGAGGTTCTCCAGTCCTCCCCCCACGGAGCTCCTGCTGCAGGAAATCCCAGGCACAGCGGACAGGGAGGGGGTGGGTGAGCAGCTGCGCGTGAGCCTCCGCCACGCTGGGGGAGACGGGCTCTGCTGCTCTTTAAAACAGCCTTGTCACCACGGGTCATCACGGAAATGGCCTCTGGGGAAGTGGCTGGAACCTGCTGTCTACGCCAAGGGCAAAGAAATCCCTCCAGGAGAGTTTGTCAAACTTTTGGGAACCTGACCCACAGTAAGAAATAAAGTTTACCAGGTGACTCGGTGCACACATCCAGGAGCACTGGTGTACATGGAGATGTATATATAAATGAAGCAAAGTTTCCTAAAATCATACTCATTTCTGCTACATACCATGCAATCTAGTATTTGCTATTATTATTTTTTAATGTTGGCCTCAACCCACTAAATTGATTTCACCACCCATAAGATGTCTGGACGTGCAGTCCGAACCCCAGGCTGGAGAAAACTCTTTTTCCTTGAAAGAACTCTTAAAACTCCCTCACAGATGAACCTCCCCACAAAGCAAAACCCTACTACGCGCCCAAGTTGGGAGCCACAGCAAAGGAGGAAGAGCAGGTGTCACTGCAGCAAGCAAGGCCTGCCACCAGGAGTCCCACGTCTGCCCCCTGCTGTGCTCCAGGTGCAGGAGCTCAGGGGCTCTGCCCCTCCACCTCCACTGGGGCCTTCCGGGGCTGGCGAGCATGCTGCCCAGCCGGGCGCAGGCAGGATCTTCAGTCCACCTGTGCAGTGGGATAAAGCATTGCCTCCCCGCCCCTCAACCTCATCCCTCCACGAAATGGACTTACCTATGACACACAAAGGGAGAAATGTCAACACTGCGCTGCCCACACTGGTTTTCTTCAAATCGCCGAACGGCCTATCTGTGTATCAGATACTGTACACTACAAACTCCTACAGGACAGGACAGGAAGTCTGGTTTCTTCATTTATTTTTTTAACTGAAGGTACACAGAACCCCTTTATAGAAATTTTTATGAGAACAGGAACAAAAACAATCCAATTTTAAACTATCTTCAACCCCGTCATTGTGCTTTTCCAAGCAGCCCATGAAATCAGGCCACCTCCTCCTCCAGGCAGCCCTCCCTCTTACCCCAGGACAGCCGAGGAGTTCTCTGAACCCTAGACCATGATGATATGAGACTCGTAACGACTTTTTTCCACAGTCACTGTTCCCAGAAATGAAACACACTGCTTCTCTACCTGTGTGATCACAGCTTGGCTGAGTACCTGAGCTGGAAATTGTCACAGAAAAAAGTCAGCATTCCATATTCTGAATTAGTTAAGTTTTAAAGTTTCCTTGCAATTCCTAGTGAGACCTGGCATGAAAAGAGGTTAAGCGCCACCCAAATCATTCTTAACAAGTTGGTCAAGACCCTCCCGAGACCACCCCTACCTTTGCAATACCCAGCCCCCTTCTACCATATACACCCCTCAGAGAATGTGGATGACCTTCTACCCACAAGCCATTTCGTCCTCCATCTCTGGGCCATTGCACTGCACTTTTGAGGGAAGAAGTCCTACTCTTTCAACACCCACCTATTAACAAGTACATATTGACTGACACCTGATAGAGGCTGTGGTAGCCTCTGGGGATTCAGCCACGAACAAGACGAACGGAGATCTTCCTCATGTTCCAAGGGACACCCTCCAATTCCCAACCGCCCCTTCTGGCTAATATACTACTTTCTTACAATCCCTTCATGTCCCTTTTTATGCTTTGCCTTTTAGCATGTGTGTCTGTCTCCCTCACTAACCATAGCTCCCTGAGGACAGAGACCATGTCTTGTTCACGTTGGCATATCCTGTCCTTTCCTATCCCCATCCCCACTCCACCCAGACAGACAGAGCTTCTCACATAAGAAGCCCTGTATAGCCCTGGCCAGTTTGGCTCAGCGGTTAGAGCGTCGGCCTGCGGTCCGGAGAGACCCGGGTTCGGTTCCCGCTAAGGGCACGTACCTCGGTTGCAGTTTGTCCCCGGCCCTGGTTGGTCGTGCGGGTGGCAGCCACTCGATGTGTCCCTTCACGTCGATGTTTCTCTCTCTCTCTCCCTTCCTCTCTCTCCCTCCCACTCCATCTGTACAAAAAATGGAAAAATATCCTCGGGTGAGGATAAAAAAAAAAAAAAAAAAAAAAAAAAGAAGCCCTGTATACATGTGCATCAAGGAACAGATGCTAATGGGTTAGCTTAGTACTCTAGACGGCAAAGACTGGCCCACTGGGGACAAGCCTTGCTCATCCAGCAGGGTCCAGGGGACATGGGAGATGGTGTCTATGTGGCAGAAAATGCTCAGGACCCCTTTCCCAGCCACAGCCTGTGGTTCTTGTCCCAGCTGCTCCTCCTTTAAATTGTGCTTCTGGTCACAGCAGCTGGAAAATAACTCCGGGGGTACACATCCAGCTGGCACAGCCCCTGGACTGTCAAGGTGGATGAAAAGTATATTTGCACAAGCATTTTCAGCATATTGATGAGCTGACAGAAGACATGCTACAATGTTTCAAAGACGTATCACCTCTCTTTTTAAAGAACACAACTGACTACTCTCTCTGTTTTCAGCTCAGGTACTGCCTGGGCCACCTCTCCCAGTAATCTCTTCCAGCACGCTCCAGAGCAGCGCTGAGCACCATCATCCACCACCTAAGTCACAACGAGGCAGTGACTCAAGTCGCCGCCGCCTTTGCTGTCAGGTCCAGAATGAGGCATCGGACTTGCATGCTGTCTTCCCTCATGTCACCAAGGCTTTCAACTCTGCGAAAGGAACGGCTCCAGAAGCCACCACAGAAATCCAGCTACTGCACTTTGTTGTCTAACAATTGTCATCGTAGGGTACCGACGTCAGAAAATGGATCTATTTCCCGACACTACGCAGTCAACAAATGTTGGTGAAAGGTTGGTTAGGAAGGCAAGATTGATATGGAAGAATCCATCAGAGCAACTACCCTCGATGTAGCATATACAAGATCCAGAAGGATGAAGAAGAATTTGAATGTCTACTTATATTTACTTTTATTTAAAATTAAGACATTAAGCTTTACTATTATTTAATGTATGAATTGACATAGGTATACGCCTTCGATCTGTGTCGGGGGGGGGGTCTCCGTCATTTAAGGTACAGGAGGCATCTTGTGTCTGAGTAGGAGACCCAGAACACACAGACGGACAGGGGCACCCCCCCATTGTCAGTGTACTCGAGTGCAGTTTACCCGCAGCCAGTTAAGCAAATTTAAGGATATCATCTTTATTTGATCACATTCATGGATTATCTCATGGCAAAGTACCCGAGATACTCAACTCAAAGGTTGGTTTTTGTGTTTTGCTTTTAACCAGAAAACAAGGTTCCAAAATTTTCTGACCTCTTCTGTAATGAGTGCTTGTTCGTAGAATGCTATTTAACGAACATTCTAAACAAATAAATAAATATTTAATCTGTCCTTTTAAGGTAAAGGTGACGTTTAAAAAATGGGTAAGAGGCTGATCTCCGAAGACTGTCACGGGGGTGTTCGGAATCAGACACCGGCCAGCTAATAAACAGCTCTTATTTGAACTTCAAAAAAAAAAAAAAAAAATGGGTAAGAAAGCCTTTACTTTTTGAAAGAGACAGGTCACCGAAATAGGCATTTGGAAATCATTGCTACCATTATGTGACGAAGGTTCCAAATTCAATGTAAGGCTGTCATCTGTAAAAGCATGAATCTATGCACACACTTAAAACAGAATATCCAAACTTAAAAAAAAGTCTCAATGAAATGAATAGAATGCAGTGTTTCAGGGGTCACAAGTCCATTTATATTATAAATTGAACCCATAATAATCTCTTCATAAAGAAGGTCTCTTTCAAAATGCCCTGACCTCCTGGCCGGTGTGGCTCAGTTGGTTGGGCATTGTCCCGTGCACTGAAAGGTTGCCGGTTCGATTCCCGGTCCGGGCATATGCCCAGGTTTTGGGCATGATAGCGGTATCATCCTCCTTTTTCTCCCTCTCAAAATGCCCTGACTTGAACCAGACCTTCAAATGGCTATATTGCAAATTATGACACCAAGATATTGTGAAAAAATGAAGTATATTCGATTGCATGGTTCTTACTAAAAATGAATAATTCTTAACAATTCATTCCATCTACCTCTCTCTCATATGTGCCAGGCACTGTTCCATGCTCTGGAAATACAGCAGGGAATAAACGTGACAAAAATCTCTGCTTTCAAGGAGCTCAGGGGAGGGGGGACTATACAAAGTAACAGAAATACATAGTATGTTAAATGGTGACAGGTGCCATGGAGAAAGAACCCTGTAGGGAAGGGATGCAGGAAATGCTGCTAGCAAAGGTGTGCGTGGGGGCGGCACTGAGAAGGTACTACCTCAGCACAGACAAAAAGGAAGTGAGAGGCAGCTCTGGGCTATCTGGGGGAAAGCAGTCCAAACGGAGGGAACAGGAGGTGTAAAGGCCCTAGAACAGGAAATGCCTAGTTTATTTGAGGAACAGCAAGGAGGCTAGTCTGGCTGCAGCACAGAGGGAAAAAAAAGAGAGAATATCAGGAGATAAAGACCCAGAAGTGAAGCGGGGCAGGCCACGCAGGCTGCATTTCCGAGATGGCAGCCCCCAGTCACACGAGGCTGCCGAGCACAGGAAATGTGCCTGGTCCACGTGGAGCTGTGCTGTGTTAATAAGGCAAAAGCCATGTGATATATACATCAGAAATGAAAATCTAGGGATGGGCAGAAGTAGGGAAGAACTCTGTGCCAAAGTGTGCTCTGCGTATAGCAAGGGGGCTACAAGAATGTGTCAATAATGAAGGCTGGCATTTTGAGCATTTACGAGATTGTACCCAAGTGCACTGTGCCACTGGGACATTCCTTTGACGCAACAAAGCTATTGTCATCATAACCTGCATGTCTTTGTCCAGATGAACAACATAAACCTCTGTTTGCCCACCCCTCTATATGTTGCATATTTTTTGACATACTGGGTTAAATCAATTAGGATGTTTCTTTTTTTCTTTCTGAATGTGGCTACCAGAAAATGTTCACTTACGTATGCGGCGCTCCTGTGTAACTCGCGTTCTGGTTCTGTTAGACAGTGTTTATACGCTGCAGGGCCTTGCGGACCACTCTAGGGATCACGGCTGTCACCGAGAGGAAGGGCAGGGCGGGGCATGGTGTGGCATGTCGCAGGGCTGCTGTGAGGACTCTCACCTGTCAGGAGCAGAGGAGGAGCGGATGAAAAGTGAAGGTGGCTCGGGCCAGGGTGACAGCAGCAAGAAGTTCTGACGGGTCGTATTCCAGACCTACTGCAGGCAGAGTAACCGAGATGCGCTGCTGGGTTGGATGGACATTAGAAACAGAGAGAAGTCGCGATCACGGGTACTTTGGATGATGGCATTCCCATAACCAAGATGGGAGACTGAAGGAAGAAAGTATCTGTATGGGAAAACCAAGAGTTCCGTTTGGAGCATGTTAAGTGTGAAATGTCTATTAACGTCCAAGTTGAAATCGTAAGCAGGCAGATGGAGACTCAGGTTAGGGCTGCAGTTCACGGGGGAGAGGCTGGGCTTGAGACAAATATCGGAGGGTCATCCGCATGTAGGTTTCTTTTCTAAGTTCTTATTCTGGAAAATCTCAAATATAAATAAAATGAGAGGCGGCATAATAAAGCTCCAGGTACCCATCGCCTAGCTTCAACCATTATCAACTCGTGGTCAAGTGATGCCTTGGAAGCAAATTCTAGACATCTTTTCATCTAAGATGGTATCTAAAGCCATGAGTCAGGAGAGGATCGCAAAGAGGAAGAGGAGAGGAAGAGGAGGAACCCTGGGGCCGTCTAATGCTTGGAGGTCAGGGAGATGACACACTGAGAAGGAGCAGCCAGTGAGACCGGCGGAAAACCAGAAACACGCGTCCTGGAGCCACGTGAAGAGCTTCAAAGGAAAGGGTATGACCAGCGGGGTCAAATGCTGCTGAAGCTACGACGATGAAGACCACCAGGTGACCACCAGGTGCGGGAACGTGGAGGCCACCCCCTAGCCCTGCCAGGAGCACTCTCCTCTGGAGTGGTGGGGACAAGCCTGGCTACAGGGATTCAAGAGAGGAAGCGAAGAGAGCAGGGAATGAAAACGCTTTAAGGGACAGAAATGGGCAGTAGCTGGAGTCGAAGAAAGTTTTGAGCCGTAGTGATGGACAGAAATAGAAAAATCAGAAACGATGCAGTAAAGAGGGGTAAACTGGTGATGTAAGAGGGCAAGGGACGTCCTGGAGCAAGTCCTGAATACGGACGAGGGATGCAGTGCAAAGAATCGGGGTTGCCCTCAGACCGGACCTCAGTGTCCACCTGGGAGAAGGCAGAAAACACACCGTGACACAGTCTTTTATATGTGTAAACGTTTTATAACATAGATCATCTATCAGTACAACAGTGCTGTCTATAAATTATAAACACACACATACAAGGGGATTTCTCAAGTTTTAACCAATAGGGGTGCATAATCAAAATAACTGAAGACCACGTAATTGGAAGAAAATAAAACATACTGTCAAACTCTGAACTAGGTAGCCTTTAGTGACCGGCATGTATATCATGGTATATTTGATATACTGTGTATTATTATGTTAAGTATACAATAAAAGACCGAGAAAAGGTAAAAGACTATTAGTCTTTGTATCCGAGAATAGGTGTTTTTATTAACTAAGATTTTTTTTAAAAGACTCAGACACTATAATCCAGAAACTGCAATATAGCTGCATTTGAACTGCAAATGGAAAAATACAAGAATCGTGAGCCATTATCAAAATCAGAGGGTCACAGGGACCAGAAATAAGTCTGATTCTTTATTTACACAGAGAAACGCAAATCAGTTAATACTGTAGTTTTATTAGCAAGGCAGGCCCGAATTGCACCATTGGATTCTGAGGCTGCATGGTTACCCAACAGCACACTGCTCAGCAAAGAACAGCCACCGAGAAAGTGGGCGTAATAAAACAGGCAGCCTAATCAGAATCGGCAAAGCCCCAAACCAACCTGAGGTGTACACAGAGCCGCAGAAACATCCAGTTGCCCAAAGAGCATATCAGCACCACTTGGCGCCCGCTGAGCCCTTGAATAGTTCTGAGCACCTTTCAGATGTTTTCATTCAGCCTCCCTACAACCTGCCAGGTACGTAAGCTTTCCATTTTAACTTACTTCGCTATCAAGACTCAACCCAAGGGTGGCTTGAGTCAATGGACAGACGCATGGACAGTCGGTGATACTGCTAGGACCCCCGTCGCGTGGCTGTGAAGCAGAGGCCTGCCACAGGAGCCACCCTGAACACTTCTCGGGGCGTCCCTTACCCACCACATAAAACGACAGCAAGCGCACCTGTGTACCAAGTCCTACCGCATGGCAACTCTTTCAGTACAGAAGTGACGGTCGCGGTCACCCGACGCGGGGAAAGGGACAACACGCAGACCCACGACAGCTCTAACGTGGTCAGACCGTCAGCTCCACGAGAGCGGGGCCCTGCCTGTGTTTTCACAGCTGTATGCCTCGTGCCGGGCACAGAGCAGGCTCTCAAGAAATATTTATTGAAGGAAGAAAAAAATGACGACGACATTAAACCACAAAGATCAGGAATAATGAAGAATGCTCAAAAATCACGGACTGGGTCAACAGAACTCGGGAAGACTGGAGATGGCAGCCCACTGGAGACAGAGGGAGGCAGCCAATATACGCCCAAAAGGCAGAATTGCAGCACTAAATTCTTTTAAGAAGGACCATACTCTTCAGTAACAGAGGCTTTGAGATGAACCATCGACTAAAGAAAATGTGTGAATCTTGTCTGGAGCCTGCTTCAAACAAACCAACTATTTAAAAAAAAACTGAGACAAGCCAGAAAAGGTAAATACTGGTGATATTTAGGAAACAGTGCTTTTGCAAGGGGGGAAACCACCGCTGGGGTTATGTTATTAACGGTACTGTGTTGTTGTTGCTGTTTTTTAATATGAGGTTTTATTATTTTTTTTCCTTTATTGATTATTTTAGAGAGAGAAGAAAGGAGAGAGAGAGAAACATCGATGAGCGAAAACATCGACTGGCCGCCTCCTGCATGTGCCCCACTGGGGATCGGGCCCACAACCTGGGCATGTGCCCTGACCCGGAATCGAACCGGTGACCTCTTGTTGCATGGGTCAATGCTCAACCACTGAGCTACACCGGCTGGGCAAAGGTATTGTGTTTTATCCAGCCAGTGTGGTTCAGTGGTTGAGCATCGACCCATATACCAAGAGGTCACCGGTTCGATTCCCGGTCAGGGCACATGCCCAGATTGTGGGTCCGATTCCCAGTGTGGGGGCATGCAGGAGGTGGCCAGTCTATGTTCTGTTCTCTCTTATAGATGTTTCCATCTCTCTCTCCCTCTCACTTCCTTTCCCTCTAAAATCAATAAAGGAAAAAACATTTTTTAAATAAAAATAAAGGTATTGTGTTTTAGAAATAAACAATGGAGTATTTATAATGAAATACGACATTTGGGATTTGCTGTAAAAGAACCTAAGAAGGGAGTAAGAAGTACAGTGGGCTGGGGTATAAAGGAAGTGAGAAGGGCTGTGTGTTGGTAATATGTTGAAACTGAGTGACGGGAACACTGAAGTTTCTTACGCTAACTCTCTCTACCTTCCTAGATATGTGACATTTTCCACAGTAAGATTGAAAAAGAAAAGTAACCATAATCTCAAACTGCACTCACTTTCCTTGCACCTGCCCCCTACAGGGAAATGTGGTATTCTGGTCACACCTGGGCACAGTCATTTCCAAGGAGATGTGCAGACAGAGCTGAGAGCCCTGTCATTCCTTCGTCACCGCCATCATCTTCACCTGGGACTCACCTGCTTCAGCTCTGCATTCACACTGGGCCTGGAGACGCCTCTAAAGGATCTAGGTTGTTCCACCACAAATATCTGTGCTGCACATCTTTTCACTGCACTACTAATTGGTCATAAAATAATTTTGCAGTGACAGATCAAAAAACTGCTTGACAGTTTGGTCTGCATTTGGCAGACTTCACGTATTTAACCTAGTTGTCAGTTTGGTCTCATTTCTCCATGGACGAAGTTCTTACACTTACTCCCATTTTTACATTATATAAATCTCAGCCCTCATAATGGTGCATACAGTGACGAGTCGACGTGGTGGATGATAACAACGGCATATAAAGCAGACTGCACAGCCAGAGTGCATGCTCTACTAGAAAATGATGACCGATCTGTTTGCAAATCCTTCGGTGAGCCCAGTGAGCCATTCCGTCCATCAAAACCAAAAGTTTACCAGGCTGTACAAATACAAAAGAGGCAGCTGCTAATTCTTCACAGTCTTCGAGAGCATTCATTATCGATTCTTTAATTGGAAACTGACACCTCTCCGAATGAAGAAGAAATTTCAGCAAAGGAGAAAAAGTGCAACTCTGAATGAGACGAACCAACGAGCAAAAAAAGATGTATATTACTGTGAACGGGAGCCTTCGAAGACAGTATATTTTCATTTTTCACAATAAAGTCTTTTAGTTTTGTTATTAATTTGCTCATGTTTCATTATATCCTTTTTAAATGTCCTTTTATTTTTCATTCTTTTCTATTTTATAATGAAATTGCCTGAGGGCCTATTAGTTACAGCAAACATGTTTGGGCAAGATGTTTATGATGAAACCTCCAGACACGGCCTCTGTGTTCTCTCACACTGGTTTCTACTCTCGAGCCCCGATCTTAAATTCCCTGGCACTAATTGGTTCTTCTTTCCACCCCACCCCTGCTTTATCCAATGATGTGGGTGCCGCGAACCCACCTCTCTTGGACTGGGTCATTCTCTACTTTCTCATGGTCCTAATGCCAAAGGATTCTCTCATTCCCACACGGCGTCAATCTTTCTATGCCCTTCTCTCCCTGATGGCATTCACAGTACCAGCGTGTCCAGGTTCGGCCCACCCTCCCCCAAAGGTATCACGCACATTGCCGCGGGCTCCTCTCTTCCTCCGCCCACCTGCTCACATCCCTCCTGCATATCTCCAGGGCAGACCCCGCGAGGATGGGTCATCCTTAAACATCCATGTGGCCACCCAGTGTCAAGCACAGTACCCCACGCTGAGTGACGTAAACGAACAAGACAGACACAGATGCATGCTCTTGAAGCTTGTGATCTAGTGCGGATCCTATTCAAATGGGATCAACTGTCCCTATGCCTTCCAGACCAGACTGTGAATCCTTCATTTACTCCCTGTCCTCCCAACGACACACAACGCTCACCGTACAGCAGATCCTTAATCAGTATCGGGGAAATGAACGGTTCCCCGAGTCAGTGCCCTGTCTGCACATCAGTGTAAGCCCGTGTAGTCGGAGGTCACCCTAAACTCTACAAAGGAAAGGTATTTAGAGAGGAGTTTTGATGAGGACCCCTCCCTTTTTTTTGATGGCCTCTGGGGAAAGTGTGTACGGGACACTTTCCAGCTAAAAGCAGCTCCGGGTGTACTCAGCTCCTGTCTTCGCTATTGTGGGCATCTGCTCCCTCCTCCCCCTGCCAGCCTCCTCCCTTCCAGCTTTGGTGGTAACAACGCTCAGG